TGTACGATCAGTTCTGGAAAGCGGTTTTTAAGTTGATCGATGCCAATCAAAAAATCACTGCCAGAGGTTCCTGCAACAAAAATAGTCTTTGATGCACCTCCACCTAATAAATTTACCATTTTATACCTTCATTCGCGGTTCAATCTGTTCGCCATACCATCGTCCTCTTAGGCTAGTTTAACAAAAACTCCAGATTTTTACGACTTCATAAGAAGTTTTTGACCTATACACTGTACACAATCCTTTACGGTTCTGCAGTTTCCATCACAAAACGTCGTCCAATTCAACACGAACATTCCCATTTGGAATGATTGGTTCCTGGTTGGCCTTTACGGCCCTTTCTGCCCTTCCTATTTCACATAACCACAAAAATACAGAAATATCTATGCATGTACAGAAAAAGCTTGTAGAACTTAGGCAACGTAAAGCAACTTGCTAACCTTCATCGCTTCCACGAAGGAGCAGAATTTTTGCGTCGGGGTTCAATCCAGCAACAACGGAATCCAGATTCATCTGAAATTTTTCATCTGTATGAAAGGAATTACTCTTAATCGTCTTACCCTTGCCCCTTGCGTCTCATCCCCTCTCCCCCCGTCCATTCTCCCCTACGTTCCCGAACAAACAATGGACGACACATCAGATCGTCCAGAAAAACTGTTGTAGAACTCAGTGAACACCTAATTTCTAATAATTAAAAAGCATAAAATTTTGGAGACTCAATCTGAGGCCTCATTTCTTGCTTAAAATTCTCTGCGAGGGCGCATTTGGCATTCGAATTTCTCCAAAATGATAGTTATTCAAGTCTAAAAATCAGCTATCACTGCTGAGATGCCCGAAGAATCTCCCTCCTGAGGGAATTTGACTCCCTTTCTTGCTAAAAAAAAACTTTAGTACCAATTTACCATCGAAATAAATGAGAGGAAAAAACTGGAACAAACCGATCGTTCACGCCTAAAAGGCCGGAAGTATTGCACCAATTGATGATGATGGATAATCTCGAACAACTTCCAAACGAAAGAATTTCTTTTTTTCTTCAATTGTACCTCAGAATTCGTGATTATGAACAATTCGAGGTTAACTTGCTGTTATTTACAAATGCCATATAGCCATATACAGTCAAAATAAATAGTCAAACAATAATGATGATTACTGCTCGTTATCATGATTTTTTACTACAGATTATGAACAATCATCAGAAGAAAAGTGATTAATAGTGGATTAAATACTATTCGCATAAGCAGATTTTTACGGAAAAATGCGGCTCTGCTCATAAGTTATCAGAATTTATCACGATCTAGCAAAAATTAGGCTAACATAATTTTCAACAGAAGTTACAATAAAAATTATCAAGGCCTAATATCTACTCCTTTTTCTTAGATTATCGAATACTTGATTTCCCCTCGCCCCCCACCCCCACCCTTTCCCGTCCCTCCAATCCCACACCCCCTCCCCTATCCTGTCTCCTCAAATCCTAATTTATCTCTTAAAATTGCCAGTGAAATCATGAATTAATACAGTGTGTGGGCCTAGGAGGCATGGTAATATAATAAATTCAAACACAATCACCCGTATTTCCCCTTTCAAACCTACCAAAATCAACTAGCTATGCCAGTCGCAAAGCTTTTGATCCTGTTAAAAAACACAAACAAACAAACAGCAATAGCAAGAACCTAATTTTTTCATCTGACAAAAAAAAATTCGATGAAATACAGCAGAGCCTAAACATCATAAATAATATGGCACCGAGTATTATGGAAGAACTGAAGTCGGGGTATACAAACCGCGGAAAGAGCACAAGAATCGAAACGCTATCGAATCTCAGCTTGATGGAAGATGTGCGGGAAATCCACAGAGGCACTACGAAAGTTGTAATTTATACAGAGGAAGACGACGAATATCTCATTAAAAAAAAAAAAAAAACATTTTCAGAGATGATTGCTAAACAATTCGAGCAGTTTGTAAAAAAAAAAAGATTGACTGTTCCAATCATCAGTTAATATGATCATTATTTTACCATTTATGCCATCAACCAATGCAGAACTTATCAATAATTGATGCCAATGAAATCAGTGAGCAAGAAATCATAATCACTGGTAAAATTCCGGGAATTTTCTCTTCATAAAAACACACAAAATCCTATATAATGTACAAATTTTCAAGACAATCAATCTGTTAGAAATGCATTGTGAAGTAATCAATGATCAGAGAGAAAGACGCGGCCAGAAAGTACTGACAAAATTTCTCGCACCGAATGCATTGAGAATATTTCGAGGATTAATATACAGCTGAAATCCATCACCAATTTGGATTTCTCACGAAATCAGAGATTTGCTTCTTCACCGGCCTGCTGCTGCTGCTGTTTCTTCTGACCTTCTAAAATAGTATATCATGCATGAAAATCGAAAAAAAAAAGCGAATAGTGTGGGAAATACTGGCAAATCTGATTTAAAAAAACTATAAAAATCGTTTCGAAAACGGTTTTTTAAAAACGTGCTGCAATAAACAGAGCTTTTCGAGAACTAGAAACCGATACAAATTTACCTGCACTTTGAGCATCATTGTATTCTCCACCAACCACCACTTTTCCATTAGCGTTTTCCTTGCCCGCATCAACATTACCAAGACCACTCAGACGCTTATCCAGCGCAGGGTTCGAAACTTTCTTGACACCCAAAATATCTTCCAATTTTGACGATTCTAAAAAAAGAAATACCCTTTTGAAATTTTTTTTTTGATCGCCAGCAAAGGAAAAATGCATTTTACGATTATATAAAGAAGCCTCTTCTTTGTTATTAGGATACCATACCGTGTTTAGGAATGGCAATATTCGAGATCGTGTTTGAATTGTGTTCAATCACACCAAACAGATCTCGAATCACAGCTAAAACTTTAGCAATTGCTTTTACCGGGAGAACCACAGCACTGGTAATTTCTACAGGAGACAAAACGAACGTTAGGATCGCCAGTAAGCTGAGCACCAGCTGGCGTACAGCGATGGCCAAAATAACTGAAAAAGCTATCTTCTCCATACATGAAGGCGATTATACTTTGAGTAAGCAGCCGCTGTTCCAGTTATAAACAGGACACATATAAAATTTCGATTATTTTAGGCTAACCCCTCAACCTCACCGCCCTTCCCTCTCCTTTTTTTCGCCATATTATTCAAGAGATGTATCAAAAAAACAGAAATCCAGAGCAGAAAAATGAAAAAAAAAACGTACAGTGGTACATTGTGGCCCTAAAAAAAAGCCATTAGAAGTTGAACTGAACAAACCGCGTTGTTTCGTTGCCAGTGCATTTGCTTCACCAAATTTGCTTTCATTTATAGGCTTCGCTAATTGCTGCTGCTGCTGCGGTGGTGGTGGTGCAAGAACATTCGCTTCATTATTACGTTCCAGTGCTAACTCAGACTCTAAAACCAACGAAACAGCATATATTTTTGAGCAAAAAACTTCAGAAATGGGCAAAACATGTTGCAAATCCTTTTAAAAATCACAGGAAGACAGGAAAATTGAAGCCAAGCAACGCGGTTTACTGGATGATACCCACGTAATGCTGAGACAGAACAAGAAAAAACGCTTGTGCAGTGAAAATTTTCAATTTGGCACCTCTCTGAAATTATCTGGACGGGGAAGGTTTGAGCCAGAAGTAGCCGGGAAAGCTGTAAGCTGCATAAAAACCGAGCACAAGACTCCGTAATAACAGCTGATCAAAGCAGAAATAGATATTTCCTGCCTATTTGCGATTTCACAACTTCAAGTTCGAAAAAAAACCTTTTATATAGGCCTAATTCTACGACATAGATAGACGAATATCTTGGTGAGAGATTTAACAAAATTAGGCAAGAAAACTTACTGAAGAACTACAGCTAAAATTACATTTCACCTCCAATAATACAAATTTACAGAATTTAAACCCACCTTCCATGCAAATTTATCCCTGATATGGGCGTAAGAATTGTACAGATTTGAAGAGCGAAAGCATTAGGATGACTTTTATCCGGTCCCACTCTTGTAAACTTTGCCTTTCAAGCTTTCATGAAGTTGTTTGCCACTAAATTTCCCTCAGAAATTTTTTTTTGATAACCTGCCGCTTAATTGAAAACACGTCAAACTGAACGATTCGCAAAATTAGAAGTATTCAGCAACGTACGTTGGGCTTCGGCCACTTCAGTCTTTGCGGTAGAAGCAGCTGTTTGAATAGCGGGTCCTGCAACGGCATCCTGTTGTCCAGGCAACTAAATACATCACATTGTCAGAACAATATTGGACAAATTAAT